CATTCAATAAAAACACATCTGTAAGAAAACCACAACTGTAAGAAAACAACTTGAAAGATTGTGTGTGGTTAATAACACAAACATTTACTGTAGGATGCTGAACCAACGTGAACTGAATAGCATACCACAACCATTTCACTGCCGATAGCAGGCCTACCGTACTTGAGGTAGGATCTGTAACGCTATTGGAAAATTAACTGGGGATGGATTACATGTGTGACACGCGGGAAAGGGCGCTGTAAAGATTTGCTTAGCTCGCTAGCTTCTCATGGCACGAAATGCCGATTTGCGGGTAAGTGATACCAATAAAGTTACTACATTTGAAAGGTCAATGTACTGACAACCTAGAAAAGTCGGGCGTCCAGTTTCGAGACACACAAACACACAAGGTTACTTGTTCACAAATATAAGTCGTTAGATAGCAAGCTAATAACAACAACACAAGCTAACTAACGTTACCAAACAACTACATCAGGGTCATTAGCGTGACTTGTATCATAAGATTATTTTAGCTACTAAGAAATGTTTTATATATCTGTGTTGACTTGGTTGTGCTTTTTTATACTCTAACCTCAGCGCAACCGAGAAAGTGGCACAACTAGCCTGCTAACTTGGCTAGCTAATAACAGCTAACTAGATAGTAGCTTGGATTTGCACACAAATGAGACACAGCTAGCTGTCTTACTCGGCTATATTAATTTTGTCTCGCTAGTAACTACTGCAAATTGTTCATCCTATTGTCTTATTCTATAACAAAGTACATTTTACAGTCTGCTAACGTTAGACCCCCTCATGTAACTGTAACGTTAAGCTGTTGTGGTGTTCTTTCAGGCCTCGAAGCATGAAAGGCCAGAAACGCAAATCGAGCACCCCAGAACCACGGCCCATGCGTTCTAAAGCCTTAAAGAGGGATGAGACAACTTGTGCCCCCCAGATCTCCAATGGTGGTCCACTCTGCACTCTCTCTGTTAACAGACATATCTCCATACCCACCCCAGCTAAGGGAAAGGGCTCTGGGATGACGGTCCCAGATGGGCTGTCACCAAGGAGGAACTCTCCCAGGTTCAAGCAGAAGCCTGTTGCTTCAGGTATGGAGGGATGAGAAAGGGAAGGGGGAATGGAGAACTAGAGGGAGGAATGACAAGTAACACATAGTGTGTGTTGCGGAGATATGAAGGGATGTGGGAGTTTGTGTGCAGGGGAATTTCATTGGTTTTACATGCTTCGGTGGTGGGAATGTGATCAACTCCTATCTCATGGAGTATTCATCAGTCTGAATACCTGTACTTGGCTGGTTGGTGGGGAATTTCTCATTGTTAAATCTTTGTTTGTTTTGTGTCTGCTGCAGGTCAGTTTATGAATGGGGAGGATTGTCAGCGATCTCCCAGCCCCTTCGAGGCAGAGGAAGAGGACACAGGACTGGGCCTGGTAATCACCTTAGGTGAGCTTCTCAACTCTGCTTCTTGTGACACGCCAAATAGACAAGACCAATTTCCAAAAACAGTATAGTATGAAAAAAAAAAATATATATATATATATATGCACTCACTAACTGTAAGTCGCTCTGGATAAGAGCGTCTGCTAAATGACAAACATTTAATGGTCAAATTAACAACCTGGGGAAATTGCAGGAAATTAGCTATAAAACTGCAATTTGTTCTCTGCCCCATGGCATTTTTTAAAAAATTGCATGAAATGAGTTATTAAATTGCTCAATCTTCTCTCCGCCCCATGACAAAATATGTAGAATTGCAGCAAACTTGCTTTCAAACCCCTTGGCAAAATGCTTTCACACCCCTTGGCAAAATGTGTGGAATTGCAGGAAATTAGCTCTCTCCGCTGTCAAGTGGGGGGCCGCTAAAATGTTTTGCTCTCAACAAAATGTCACTTAGTGTCCCCAAAAGGCTAGGGCCTGCTCTGACTGCATGTGTGGGTATGGATGTTGGTACGCAGACCCGCGAGCCACTGCAGCCCCTCATGAGGAGTTCAGATTTTTTTGTGGCCCCCACCCCCATCAAAGTTGCTCATCCCTGCTCTATAGGAAGTGGACATACCCACCATTTTGGAAACACTGAATCAGATTTGTAGTGTATGAGAATTGGATTTCATGTTTCTGTTTTGATGTGCACAAATTCATTACTTACTTCTGTCTGAAGATGGAGAGGATTGTGGGGGCCAGAGGCTGATGACGAGGAAGAGCAGCTCAAAAATGAAGAGCGCTTTAGACAATGGGCAGGATGAGGGACACTCTGTGGATGGAAAAAGGTCGTCGGAAGATTCATCCAGTGACAGCGAGGAGGATGAGTTTGAGCAGCTGGATATGGATCTGGAGAGGAAGTCACACCAACACAACTTGACCTCGGTCAATGTCCGGACCATCCTCCACGTGAGTTAGCTTGAGTCTCAATCCAGGCAAAAGAGGGGTTAATGCTAACTGCCAAGTACTAATGTTAGTGTTGAAAATGTTTGACTGACACTTGTGAATGTTGCCCTCAGGAGGTGATAACCAACGAGCATGTAGTGGCCATGATGAAAGCAGCCATCCAGGAGACGCAGGACCTACCCCTATTTGTGAGTGTCAACTTACAGCAAGTAATACTGACAGTACAACTCAGAAATTGGTTGCTAATATCACTTGGGAGTTGCATGTTTTAAATAATTTCTCTCTCCTCTTCCTGAATTCAATGTTGTTTTTATCTTCTATTTGCTTCCCTCAGGAGCCCAAGATGACCCGCTCCAGACTGAAGGAGGTGGTAGAAAAGGGGGTGGTGAGTGTCCAGTAACACAACTTGCAGCAACCTTTTAATATTTTTTCCTGGGTGCATCTCAATAGTCTAAAGTGGCTTCCTCTTCTCTTGCAGGGCATCCCCACCTGGAATATTTCTCCTATCAAAAGGGCCCTTGAAGTGAAGGTATGTCCCTGTCACACATAGCGCTAGTGTCATGTCAAATATTTTCTGTGAGCAAAGTCCTTTATTACTCCTCACTATTGTGTGTAGTCTCTGTTGCTTTGTCTATCTCTGTTTCGCTCTTTCCCACTTTCATCTCGCGCCCTACTTTCTCCCCAGCCCCCTCAGTTTGTTGACATCCCTCTGGAGGAGGAGGAGGACTCCTCTGATGAAGAGTACTGCCCCGATGAGGATGAGGAGGATGAGACTGCAGAGGAGGTGTGGAAAAATTCCATCTCTGCTCCGTTAGTCAATTCATTTTTGTTCCATCAAAAGTGTGTGCTATATGACTAAGATGTCATGCCTGTGACTTTGTTGTTTCAGACGTTTTGGAGCGACGTGGACAGCACAGCCTCGTCCCCACGATGTGCCCGAGGGGCGCGGCCCAGGACCCCTGGACACTCTGAGTGTGAGGAGGACAGATTTGACAGTCCCAGACAGGTAACACACCGCACCTCTGCATTTGGCCTTTGATTGAAAGTTCTCGAAAGAAAAAGAAGAAAAAAAATTTTTTTATTGTCACATGCACAAGTACAGTGAAATATAATACTAAATGTAACACAAGGTAGAACAAAAACACACAAGAAATAGAAATAAGAACACAAGAAAGTAAGTAAACATTCTATATACAGGGTCAGAGTTAACTGACGGAGTTAATATTTACAATGTGCACTGGATGAGTAAGAGTTAACTGTAATGTTGGTCTTGGTTTATGTTTAGAAGCCAAGGCAGCCCAGACATCTGAGGGTGGATACTGTTCCTATGGGGCCCCCTCCGCCCCCGTCCTCCACTGGCCCCTCACGACCCCTCAGGGCCCAAGACTGCACCTTCCTGGAGAAGCTTCATGCAGTGGAGGAAGAGCTGGAACTCAGCCCCATCTCCACCGAACCCTTCCAGGTACTGAAACTGTTAAACTATTCATAGATTGCACTTCCGTCACGTGGGCACGTCGTTGCCATTGTTATGAACGTTATACAGACGCCGCAGCCATATTGGTGCCCGAACTGATGCCCAGTCATTTTGGACGGGGGCTAATTGCCTGTTTAGTCTAAATTACACTACAGTGGCTTGGAAATAGGATGACAGCGCTAAAGTAGGAAAATAATTAGTCGAAAATGACTTTTCCATCATTATGATGTCGTTAAACTTACTTTAGAGAGAGGGCAATGTTGCCATTAGCTAGCAAAGTTTGTCAAAAATAGCTAGCAAAAATTCAGTGCTGTCCCCTCAATCTTGGCTAGCTAGCTAAAGTTATACTGCATCTAAAGTCAATCTGGCGACATCACAATTATGACAAAAGGTTTTCCTACTAATTATTTGCCTCCTTTTGAAATGTCATCGTGTTTTCAAGCCACTGTAATGCACTTTTGATGGCATCTTCATCAACCCCATTGACAATGCATTGAGTAGAACGTTCATTCGGGCATCAGTCCTCGAGAACGTTCAAAACAAAATTGTGATGAACCTTACAACCCGTGAATACTAGCAGACTATTCAGCTATACTAGGAAATCACCTGACTCTTATCAGGAGACTATTCAGCCATATCAGGATCAATGTGTCTGTTTCTTCATTGGTTCCATCTCTCTGTTTCCAGCCTCTGACTGGAGGTGCAGGGTCTAGCCTGGTGGCGTGTCGTACCCGCTCCAAACGGACCCTGAGGAACGTGCCCCTGGGCAAGCTGGAGGCGGAGCTACATGCCCCTGACATCACGCCTGACATGTACGACTACAGCTTGGCCCTGGAGGACCGCGACTGGAGCGAGTGGCTGCAGGGCCTCATGACATCCGACATGGAGAATGAAGGTTAGGAGTCAAAGAAAGGGATGATGGGCAGAGAGGGAGGGTTCAAGGATGGGCGATGTACTATAGAAATGGAATGGTCCAATCATGTAGAAACCGATGCAATAGGATTTTACGCTGTTGCGTATGGAACACATCATTCTCAAAAATGGGCCATGGATTCAGTTGTTTTGGGAGCAAATACTTTATTAGTGAAATACACAAAAGTTGGCACTCCTCCAAACACTGAAAAGTGTCAAGCAGGCAGACGGAGACAGATGGGGCTGCATTTAACCTGTGTGTGTACACATGTTTTACGGGAGGTATGTGTGTGTATTGCCGGTTTAATTGCTCTCGGTCTGTTTGCTCTGTCATGTTTTGCTCATTTTGACCTTTCCCCCACTTCTGCTCTCCTCCTGTTTGTCTCTCCCGCTCTGCCTCCCTCTCCCGCTCTGCCTCCCTCTGCCTCATCTCTCTCACTTCTTCTTCACTGGTTATGGCTATGGTTGTGTGTTGACAGCCCTTTTACCCTTAGGCCATATACAGTGGCTTGCGAAAGTATTCACCCCCATGGCATTTTTCCTATTTTGTTGCCTTACAACCTGGAATTAAAATTGTTTTTTTGGGGGGTTTGTATCATTTGATTTACACAACATGCCTACCACTTTGAAGATGCAAAATATATTTTCTTGTGAAACAACAAGAAACAAGACAAAAAAACAGAACTTGAGCGTGCATTACTATTCACCCCCCCCCCACCCCCCAAAGTCAATACTTTGTAGAGCCACCCTTTGCAGCAATTACAGCCACAAGTCTCTTGGGGTATGTCTCTATAAGCTTGGCACATCTAGCCACTGGGATTTTTGCCCATTCTTCAAGGCAAAACTGCTCCAGCTCCTTCAAGTTGGATGGGTTCCGCTGGTGTACAGCAATCTTTAAGTCATACCACAGATTCTCAATTGGATTGAGGTCTGGGCTTTGACTAGGCCATTCCAAGGCATTTAAATGTTTCCCCTTAAACCACTTGAGTGTTGCTTTAGCAGTATGCTTAGGGTCATTGTCCTGCTGGAAGGTGAACCTCCGGCCCAGTCTCAAATCTCTGGAAGAATGAGGATGGTGTTAAATAATAAAATAACAATATGCCATTTAGCTTTTATCCAAAGCGACTTACAGTCATGCGTGCATACATTTTTGTGTATGGGTGGTCCCGGGGATCGAACCCACTAACTTGGCTTTGTTCTCGGGGTGATGAGAGGTGTTGGGTTTGCGCCAGAGATAGCGTTTTCCTTGATGGCCAAAAAGCTCAATTTTAGTCTCATCTGACCAGAGTACCTTCTTCCATATGTTTGGGGAGTCTCCCACATGCCTTTTGGTGAACACCAAACGTGTTTGCTTATTTTTTTCTTTAAGCAATGGCTTTTTTCTGGCCACTCTTCCGTAAAGCCCAGCTCTGTGGAGTGTACGGCTTAAAGTGGTCCTATGGACAGATACTCCAATCTCCACTGTGGAGCTTTGCAGCTCCTTCAGGATTATCTTTGGTCTCTTTGTTGCCTCTGATTAATTCCCTACTTGCCTGGTCTGTGAGTTTTGGTGGGCGGCCCTCTCTTGGCAGGTTTGTTGTGGTGCCATATTCTTTCCATTTTTTAAATAATGGATTTAACTTTATCCCTGACCTGTTTGGAGAGCTCATTGGTCTTCATGGTGCCGCTTGCTTGGTGGTGTTGCAGACTCTGGGGCCTTTCAGAACAGGTGTATACAGTGAGGGAAAAAAGTATTTGATCCCCTGCTGATTTTGTACGTTTGCCCACTGACAAAGAAATGATCAGTCTATAATTTTAATGGTAGGTTTATTTGAACAGTGAGAGACAGAATAACAACAACAAAAATCCAGAAAAACGCATGTAAGTTATACATTGATTTGCCTTTTAATTAGGGAAATAAGTATTTGACCCCCTCTCAATCAGAAAGATTTCTGGCTCCCAGGTGTCTTTTATACAGGTAACGAGCTGAGATTAGGAGCACACTCTTAAAGGGAGTGCTCCTATTCTCAGCTTGTTACCTGTATAAAAGACACCTGTCCACAGAAGCAATCAATCAATCAGATTCCAAACTCTCCACCATGGCCAAGACTAAAGAGCTCTCCAAGGATGTCAGGGACAAGATTGTAGACCTACACAAGGCTGGAATGGGCTACAAGACCATCGCCAAGCAGCTTGGTGAGAAGGTGACAACAGTTGATGAGATTATTCGCTAATGGACGAAACACCAAAGAACGGTCAATCTCCCTCGGCCTGGGGCTCCATGTAAGATCTCACCTCGTGGAGTTGCAATGATCATGAGAACGGAGAGGAATCAGCCCAGAACTACACGGGAGGATCTTGTCAATGATCTCAAGGCAGCTGGGACCATAGTCACCAAGAAAACAATTGGTAACACACTACGCCGTGAAGGACTGAAATCCTGCAGCGCCCGCAAGATCCCCCTGCTCAAGAAAGCACATATACAGGCCCGTCTGAAGTTTGGCAATGAACATCTGAATGATTCAGAGGAGAACTGGGTGAAAGTGTTGTGGTCAGATGAGACCAAAATCGAGCTCTTTGGCATCAACTCAACTCGCCGTGTTTGGAGGAGGAGGAATGCTGCCTATGACCCCAAGAACACCATCCCCACCGTCAAACATGGAGGTGGACACATTATGCTTTGGGGGTGTTTTTCTGCTAAGGGGACAGGACAACTTCACCGCATCAAAGGGACGATGTACGGGGCCATGTACCGTCAAATCTTGGTTGAGAACCTCCTTCCCTCAGCCAGGGCATTGAAAATGGGTCGTGGATGGGTATTCCAGCATGACAATGACCCAAAACACACGGCCAAGGCAACAAAGGAGTGGCTCAGGAAGAAGCACATCAAGGTCTTGGAGTGGCTAGCCAGTCTCCAGACCTTAATCCCATAGAAAATCTGTGGAGGGAGCTGAAGGGTTCGAGTTGCCAAACGTCAGCCTCGAAACCTTAATGACTTGGAGAAGATCTGCAAAGAGGAGTGGGACAAAATCCCTCCTGAGATGTGTGCAAACCTGGTGGCCAACTACAAGAAACGTCTGACCTCTGTGATTGCCAACAAGGGTTTTGCCACCAAGTACTAAGTCATGTTTTGCAGAGGGGTCAAATACTTATTTCCCTCATTAAAATGCAAATCAATTTATAACATTTTTGACATGTGTTTTTCTGGATTTTTGTTGTTGTTATTCTGTCTCTCCCTGTTCAAATAAACCTACCATTAAAATTATAGACTGATCATGTCTTTGTCAGTGGGCAAACGTACAAAATCAGCAGGGGATCAAATACTTTTTTCCCTCACTGTATATATACTGAGATCATGTGACAGATCATGTGACACTTAGATTGCACACAGGTGGACTTTATTTAACTAATTATGTGACTTCTGAAGGTAATTGGTTGCACCAGATCTTATTTAGCGGCTTCATAGCAAAGGGTGTGAATACATATGCACGCACCACTTTTCCGTTATTTATTTTTTAGAATTGTTTGAAATAAGTTATTTTTTTCATTTCACTTCACCAATTTGGACTATTTGGTGTATGTCCATTACATGAAATCCAAATAAAAATTAATTGAAATTACAGGTTGTAATGCAACAAAATAGGAAAAATGCCAAGGGGGATGAATACTTTTGCAAGGCACTGTATCTTTCTTAACTTTTAAACAGTTTAAAATAAATGTTTCTCTGTGTCTCTCGCTATCTCCGCCTTGTCTTTTCTCTCGCAGAAGAGGGTGATGATGATGATGACCCAGAGTATAATTTCCTGGAGGATCTGGATGAGCCTGACCGAGAGGACTACAGGAACGACCGGGCTGTACGCATCACCAGTGAGTCTCTTCATAATGTTTCCATACATCAATCCTAACCACAGATATATGGGGGCCTGGTAAATTCCATTTGTTTAATTTAAGGAAAAAAATAAACCAACCTATTTCCTTTCTCCCTCTCTTTCAGAAAAGGAAGTGAACGAGCTATTGGAGGAACTTTTCGAGACGGTGAGGAGGATTATGGTATCATATCTGCAAGTCTCTCTCTTTTCAATAATATTTTGTCTTTTTCTGAATCTCACTGTCTTTTAACCCCTTTAGTTCCAGGATGATGAGCTAATAGTGAATGGGCAGGATGACGATGGGCACGAAGAAGATGAAGAGAGGGAGGAAGGCAGCTCCACCCCCAGAGCGCTCCTCAATTCAACGTTCCACAAGCCATTCGGTATGATTCCACCCTAACCGTCTCCCTATTTCTCTCAGGAAAGAAAGGGCTTTCAAAAAGTGTACCGCAAACCCAGTAAGTAAGTAGCCTTGAGCCGGAACAGCTCGTAGGAGCAGATCTCCTGTTTCTGTAGCATGAGGCAGCTTGATGTACAAGTAGACCCCCTGGACAGGACGCTAGTCTATCGCAGGGCCTTACCCCCAATCTATCTCCTTAATGCTGAGTGCCAAGCAGAGGCGCATTGGGTCCCATTTTTACAGTCTTTGGTATGACTCGGCCAGGAATCGAACTCCCCAACCTTCCAATCTCAGGGTGGACACTAACCACAAGGTCACTGAGTTGGTCCACCAACCCAGTACCCCATATTAATAGTGATATTGAGCTTTTAATGCAGAGCAAACAACAAGAGGAAGCAACTAGACTTTTGAGATGCGCTTATGTTTCATAAAATAGCATTATGATGAGCCATATAATCCATTGTTTCCTGGTCCTCCTTGAGTCAACGGTGCTATCTATCCCAGCACTTAATGGATGTGAATGTGTGACAGTTTAGCTCACCCTTGCTTCCTTTTTCTACACACACACACACACGGTCCTCCTCTTGTTGACTTTGTGCTGGTTGGTGAGCCAAGTTGGCCATCTGTCGTATGTGTTATGAACAACTGCAGGATACGTGACTGCAGCCGCCCATGCGTTTGAGCCTATCCATCTATGACATTCTAGGAATTACTTGAAATGACGTACACACACACACACACACACACACCAAGGCCTCCCTTCGGGACAGAGCAGCAGAGGGGTGCTGTATCTGCTTGGGTAGGGAGGCAGAGAAATGCTCTGGTGTTTTCTCTTCCTCTGAAGTGTCAGGAGGTGGACAGAACACACAGTAGAGCTACAATCCACACTAACACACAGGACTCACATTGGAGCTACAGCAACTCACACTTACTAACAAAAGACACACACACACACAACACCGCTAACAAACTCACTCTGTGTCTCTCACACACCCCCAGTGCGCCAGGTGTTCAGTAGATGGTTGGCACCTGTGCCCACTTTGATGTTTGAACTGTGCGTCTGTTGAGAGGTTTCTGTGTGTGCGACGTGCCATTTTCAGGCCACTTCTCTGAACTGACGGGAGCAGAGAGCGCTTTACTTCCTTCCAGCAACCCTCCACACACGTACACACACACCTGTTTGCGTTACTGTGTCCTGGTCCTGGCTGTAATGGGTGTCTCTAAATGTTAACGATGCAGTATGACGTGGGGAAGACAGGTTTTTCCACACTGTGTGGAGTCTGGGCTCTGTGACAGTGCTACCACTACTGACTCAGCAACGTTAGGAAAAGTAGAAGAGGATAATGGAGGTGTGTAGAGAGTGTTAAGTCTCTCCACAGTGATTTCAGTCTACGCAAGCGGAGTTACGCTTTCGTCGCGTGCCAAAAGTTCAGCCGCACAAAAGTACATGGAGAGCTACGCAAACGAACCTCCATCGGATTCGTTGTGTAGACTGTAGAGCCTTTTTAAGCAGTATATTTCATAATCCAAACTGAACAAAAATATAAACGCAACATTTAAAGTTTTGGTCCCATGTTTCATGAGCTGAAATAATAGATCCCTGAAATGTTCCATACGCACAAAAAGCTTATGTCTCTCAAATTGTGTGCACAAATGTGTTTACATCCCTGTTAGTGAGCATTTCTCCTTTGCCACGATACTCCTGACAGGTATGGCATATCAAGAAGCTGATTAAACAGCATGATCATTACACAGGTGCACCTTGTGCTTGGGACAGTAAAAGGCCACTCTAAAATGTGCAGTTTTGTCACACAACACAATGCCACAGATGTCTCAAGTTTTGAGGGAGCGTGCAATTGGCATGCTGACTGCAGGAATTTCTACCAGAGCTGTTAAAAGTGAATGAATGTTCATTTCTCCACCATAAGCTGCCTCCAACGTCATTTTATAGAATTTGGCAGTATGTCACAACCGGCCCCACAACCAAACCACGTGTAACCACGCCAGTGCAGGAACTCTACATCTGGCTTCTTCACCTGCAGGATCATATGTGACCAGCCACCCGGACAGCTGATGAAACTGAGGAGTATTTCTGACTGTAATAAAGCCCTTTTGTGGGGAAAAACATATTCTGATTGGCTGGGCCTGGCTCCATGGCTGCGCCCCTGCCCAGTCTTGTGAAATCCATAGATTAGGGCCTAATGAATTTATTTCAATTGACTGATTTCCTTCTATGAACTGGAACTCAGTAAAATCTTTGAAATTGTTGCATGTTGAGTTTATATTTTCATTCAGTATAATTCCAGTCAAGTGTGTCTTCAGTCCCATGGGACACATGTACCGATAATTTTTTGGGATAATGTCTGCTAAATGACCATAATCGAATGCCAGCCAGTGTCCAGAGGTTGGGGATGGTGAGAAGCCTGAAACAAGACTGCACAGCAGAGGTGTGCAGTGATGAGGATCATAGGGAGGACTACTCCCTACAAGGCTATTCTTAAATTGTTATTGAAATGTGGTGTGCTTTCTGGCGCCACATGACTGTTGTAGATTCACCCAATGGGTACTTCATTTTGGTAGTAGTGAAGGAGTAGCTAGCTAGCTACACCTAACGTTACTACGGAGTCCATGAACTGCAGTAGCTGAGCTCAAACTTCATCCGAGCCCTACTATGGAGAAGCCACACAGACAGCAGGGACAGCGAGACACCTTGATGACACCGTGCTGCCTGCCTGCCATCTTTGCTTGCTCTTCCCTTATGACCACCTTCCTCCGATGACCATTCAAGCCATGAACTTTCCCCACCCTCTCATGACCTTCCATCTCATGAATGATCCTATTCTAAATGGCTTGTCTTTTTTGTTGCTTTAAAGCACTTTGAGATTATTTATGTAATGAATAGTGCTATAAAAGTTTAAATTATTATTATGTCATCAATATGATTATTATTCCCCTTCCTGACCCCTGCCTTCTGATCTCTGCAGGTTTCAGGAGCCACTAGCTAACATGCTAACAGAGAGGCGGCGTACTGTGAGGGAGCAGATGGAGGCTCTGCAGCAGCGGAGAGCCCTCCAGGAGACCCCTGGCCGTTCCACCCCCGTCGTCACGGGATCACCCCCCATGGTGCTGCTGCCACCTCTGCCTTGCCCCGCCCTCATGCTCGACCACACCCAGAAACTACAGCTGCAGCAGCAAGTCCAACAGGTAGGCAGGCTCGCTCGTAAAACCTCATTTTAAAAGAACTGAGGAAGTGAAGTTGGTGGAATATAACATTAGATTATTGACACCAATAATGTTAATTCCTCTCTAAATGTTGAAATATTGACACATGACACTGGTAGACTCACTGACCCCCTTGTCTGTTTTGTCTCTCTGTTCAGCACATCCAGCTGCTGACCCAGGTACACCTGCTGTGCAGCCCTGTGGAGGCCCTGCACCACAAGGCCCACACCACCAAACAATACCTGGTGAGTTACTGAGGCAGTCTCTCTCTCTGTCTCTCTTGCTCTCCTCTCTCATGCTCCCTCCCTCTCTCTCACCTTTCTTTCTTCTCTCTCCTTCTCTCTGTCTTGTTCTCTCTCTTTCCTCTCCATTCTCCCCTCTCTCCCTGTTGCCTTCCCTCCCGCTCTCTCTCCACCCTTCTCAAGTCTTAGTCTTCCATTCCTTCCCTCCATCTCCTCATCCCTCTCTCTGTGTGCCCCCCACCCAGGAGGAGCTCCAGTCGTTTGCCCAGCGTGAGGAGGCGATCAGGTCAGTCCGGGACCCAGGCTTCAGCAGCATCTTCAGGGCCTGTAACCTCCAGGGGGCACTGTCTCTGGTCCAGGAGCAGGAGAGCTCTGTCTCACAATCTGCTCCTTCTCCTCCAACCCCCCCAGCCAGGCCTCAAACACACTCTAACAATGGTAATGAACAGGGAGGTCTAGTGTGTGTATGTGTGTAGTTCATATGTAATGTAAAGACGTGAGTGTCTGAATTGTCTGTACTGTATGTACTAAAGATAGTGTCTTTGTAAATGGTATCGATAGCCTGTGTGTAGCTGTTTGGTGTTATCTATATGTGTCAGAGGGTGGGTTTAGTGAATTGCCTGATGTTGTGGTTGTCCCTGCAGTGCGTACATACCCTCTGCTGTCTGCTGAGACGGCCTGGCTGTTCGCCACCCGCTCCGTCTTCCTCTACCCAGAGCTCCTGCCCCACTGCAGCCTGGACCCCGCACTGCACCCCCCACGCACCAAGAACAACTTCTACACACGCGGAGAGGACAGGTACACGTGCACTCACACACATTTACACATGCTGCACGTCCTGAAATGAGAGGGTCTGTCTCTCTAGCTAGCTCCAAAACCGTTCATTGACCTTTCACCGACATAGTTGGAACTATGAGGACCTATGTCATCTTTACTGCTACAACCAAGCATCAAATTCCTCCTTGCATGTTTGAATGTTAGACTAAAAACTAGATATTTACTCACAATGTGGATTTTTGTTCCAGACTCATTGTACTGGGGCTGAAGCACTTCAGCCAGACAGAGCTCCCCTACCAGCTCATGTGTCGCTACCTCATCCGTACCAAGAAGCAGGACCAGCTACGCTCCCGTGTCAAGGAGCTGTGTGGCCCCAAGGCATCTGACAACACTATCAAGGTGTGGACCTCACAACTCATTGATACTTATCAGTCTTAATGTTTTGATCATGCCTTGATGTAACCACCTATTGCCATGTTGGGTGGACCATGAAACCATGGGAAAGATAGAGCTTTATCTGTTATTTTCTTCTCTCTCAGTTGTACTGTCAGCACAACATAGTTCCTGCCATGCAGGAGACCTGTGGCAAGGTGATGCCAGGGGAGGAGCGCCCCCCAGTGGAGAGAGAGATGTCCGTCATGCCCAACTGGCTACTGGTACAAAACTCACCACCACCACTATCAGTATTAGAAAATGTGTCATTCTCCATTTTACTTCCCTATTACTACTAATAGGTACTAATTCCTATGTAAATTGTTTCTCCTCTATAGAAGAGTCTACCATTCATCCACAGGGGGGTGATGGAGTATAATAAACCATCCAGAATACCTCCGCCTCCTCCAGCACCCCCTTACACCTTCCCCAATGGGACGCGATATCCCCCATCTCTCCCTAGAAATGTCACTCTGCGCCTACACCCCTGCATGAACTACAAAGGCGAGCGCCCAGCCATCGCCCCCAAACCTCGTCCCTTCTACGCTTTCACCCGTTCTGCCCCCCTTCCGCCCCTAGCCAAAGCCCCGCCAGATACACTCCGCTTTCTGCCTCATGTTCCTGGACCTATCCCCTCGCAAGGGGTCATCCTATTGGCCAAGGCCCCCAGCACTCCAATCCGAAGGGCCCTGCCATTGTCCCAGGCTCCTGTCACTCCTGCCCATAGAGCAGTGCCATTGGTCCAGGTCTCACCCTCCATCCCAATGGGAGTCCCCCTCTTTGGTCAGGGTGTGGTCACAGTGATGCAAACGAGGCCCAATCAAACAGAGAAAAAAACACCCTTCCGGGCTCCGCTTCGCAATCTGCTGCCCATCCAGCCAGCTACCCCAAAGCCATCACCCCCATCCCCCCTGTTTGCTCTTCCAGCAGAGAATGGTGGTACTCCCTCATTGGTCACTAACTCTGCCCGTCGTGCCTGTGCTGCTCCAAGATTGGCCAAGCGGCCCTCACGCTCCACCCCTTCCCACCAGGACACTCAGGCTAAGACCAGAGCAGCTCTCGCCCGTACTCTGTCCAGGCCCCTCCTAGCTGCCCCACCCAGCTTGGAAGTTTCCCTGAACTATCCCCCCACACCCCCGGATAGCAGGCTCCAGCGCAAGTCTAGCCCTGTGTTCTTCTCTCACACGCCCTCTCCTCCTCTTATCATCAAAACCAGCTCTATGAACCCCTCCCTGGACAATCAGAACAGCGACTGGGGGCAACCAATCCATGCAGAGGTCAAAGATGAAGTTGGGTTTGACCCATCCTTAACCTACTCCCAGAACCTGTCTGGATACACTCCGAATGCTACAAATACAGATGCTTTTACACTCCAGTCTAGCAGCTCCAATGCCATTATGTCTCCGTCAATCATCCAGAGCCTCTCACCCCCTAAGAATGACCAGTATGTACTGGTACAAACTGCGGCCCATGGTTCTACTCAAATGCTTTGGGTGCCTAAAAACTGCCTGGTCTCAAACGGGTCCGTGTCATCCACTGCTTCAGAGAATGGGTTTCACCGGTCTGAAAGCCTTCCTTTTGGTCTGTCGCCTGCACCCCAACTCAATATTACTGGGTTAACGAATGGCATACCTTCCTGCCTCTCGCCACTCACCACTTTACCTAATGGCACCCAGGGCTACCAGCAAGCACTGAGTGTCCGGTTGCCCAGCGACAGTGTTCTGACCAGCGGAGACGCTCCCGGGTCGAGTTTAGAGGAGCAGCTGCACCGATTGGTGGAGGGATTACGGGAAGATGGGGAGAAGGAGGGATGGGGGGATGTGGAGGGTCCTCTCCTGACACTTTCTGAGTCGTCCTCTGGGAGCCCCTGCTCCAGCCTGGAAAGCCATGCTGATGCCCTGGAGAGAATGATGGTTGGTGAGATGGAGGAAGGGGAGGATGGGGTGAAGAAGAAGAGGATAGGGGGAGAAGAGAGGAGAGAGGTGGGGTTAGAAAGGTGGTGCATGGCAGCTACATCAACGCACAGACCTGACATACCACCTGAGGGAAATCGTGGTGAAGAGGATGAGCGATGGGAAGAAGAGGAGGGAGAGTGTGGTGTGCATGGCATGGGCATGCTGAGTGGAAGGACTGTAGCACAGGAACAAACTGGAGGAGGAGAGAAGATGATGGAGAAGAGGGTGACCAAAGAGAAGGAGACAGTGGAGGAGAGGAGGAGAGAAATGGAGGTAGGGAGAGAAACGGAGAGCAGGGTGGAGATGGAAAGGGAAGTGGAGAGGGGGAGGGAGCGGGAGAAAAAGATGGAGGACAGAACGGAGGAGGAGAGAAGGATGGAGAGAAAGACGGGGATGGAGAGCAGGAGAGGCAAGGGGAGGAGGAGGAAGAGGAGGACTTTGATGACCTTACTCAGGATGAAGATGAAGAGGAAGTGATGTCATCAGCCTCAGAGGAGTCTGTTCTCTCAGTGCCCGAGCTGCAGGTACATGATTTAAAAGTTTAAGTCTGACTTTTTTGGCATGAAAGTAGCATAAGGTTACGTGTTCAGACAGCTAGCTAATTTTCCTATTTTTACAACATTCTACCTTAATATATCTAGAAAGTTATGAATATTCTCTTCATTAGTTCTCCATTAGCCTGCTAACAGTCGCCCACCATCCATCCCACAGGAGACCATGAAGAAGCTGACATGGCTGGCCTCAGAGGGGAGGCTTTGTGACTCTGAGGAGGACAACTCTCCAAACTCCCCCACCTCACCCAACTCCCCCGTCTCCCAGAACTCCCAGGAGGAGAACTCTGAGGAGGAGGAGGGGCCCACCAAGGGGGAGGAGCTTGAGTCTGGGGACGGCAGTGTCAGTAAGGTCCCTGGAGAGGAGGACGTGCCCCCTGGGGAGGGAACCCCCAGAGCCAGTGGGAAGGGAGCTGGACGCGGCAGAGGTCAGTCTCAGGTCTAGGGGTGATGGAGACCCACTACAAAATGTTTTCATGTTCTCAGAAATGGTCTACTAAGTATTCAGTTCCATATGAGTACTAATTATAATCCTTGTTTTGTATCTTCTCTCTTTTCCTGTGGTTGGGTACCCTCAGGGCGAGGCAGGCCTCCTCCTCGCAGTCTGAGGCGTAGTCGTCGTCCGGAGCGAGACAGTAAGGACACGTCCAAGCTGCTGCTGCTCTATGACGACCACATTCTAGACAACGACCCCCTCAGAGAGAGCAAGGACTTCGCCTTTGCACAGGCCTACCTCAACAGGGTAAGGGAACAAAAATGGATTTGGTGTTTTTTGTAAAGTGGATTTTGGATCTCGGGTAGCATACTCGAAATGACATACTTCAAAACAAGTTGCATAGCATTAGTTGCAGTTATCCAATAAAACAAAAAAGGTAAACTTTAACCCTTGACCCCATCTTCCTCCTTCAGGTGCGGGAAGCCCTTCAGGACGTACCTGGTAAGGTGGAGGAGTTCTTGGGGATACTATATGAGTTTGAGCAGCTGGGTGAGGGGCGTAGCGCAGTGAAGCTCTTCTCCCAGCTCCGTCCTGTCCTGGGGGAATGGCCAGACCTCCTCAGAGACTTTGCTGCCTTCCTCCTCCCGGAGCAGGCTTTGGAGTGTGGCCTGGTAAGGATGACATCACAGCCGCTTATCACTTAATATTGGATATTTTCATAGATGCTTATTCAGGTACTTATTAAGGTTCAGGCCCAATGTAACAGAAAGTTCATATATAAATATAATGATGTAGAACAAACATTTTTATTTTTCATGTAGCCGAATACATTGTAGTGAATCTGCAAAGTTCTAACTGCTGAAAAAGCCATTAATACTCTTCAACTATGTGATGTTTTCTGTCCTGTCCAGTTTGAGGAGCAGCAGGCATTTGAGCGCAGTCGACGCTTCCTGAGGCAGCTGGAGATTAGTTTTGGGGAAAACCTGTCTCACTACCAGAAAATCGTACGTGCTCTGCAGGGGGGACCTGGCCTCAGTCCTGCCAGCATAGAGGAGGTATGTCAGTATTCTATACCATTCACATTAGTTGTCACCACAGTAAACCAATGTTAAATCACCAATGTAATCCACCTCTGCTTTCTACAGCTTAAAGCACAGATGTCCTCCCTCCTGAAAGGCCACACCCACTTGCAAGGGGAATTCTGGGTATTCTTTGACGAGCTCCGCCCACCCTCAGCCCGTCCAGGGCAGTTTGAGGAGGCTTGTTGGCTGGAGGAGGCAGGGGGCGGAATAGACGGAGGCGAGGGTGTTGGGTTGGGGTCAGGGGGAGGGGCAAGTGGTGGTTTTGAAGAAGTGACCCTCCCTGATCTAGAGGAAGAAGAGATTCCACCAATGACCAGTCGCAGACGGAGGAGGAAGATCGGTTCTCATGGCATCTACAAGGTTTGATGAAATGTGGACGGTGTAGTTAGTTGATTTCTAATTGCATTTGCAATTATGATTCTGATTTGGCTGGTTGTCTTCCTTCACAGGAATGTGATTGGCCAGAAAAGGACTGCTTCTGCCTCTGTCATGGTGCCAGCCATGATGCCAAGCTTCGCAGACACAAGAGGAAAGGATGCTCTCGCTGCCACGGCAACAAGGTAGCCTCATAGTCTAGTGTTTTGTTGTTCTAAACTGCCTGTGAATAAAATGAGTGAGAGTTATGGAGATGTGACATGCGTTCTTCTCTCAGGCCTCTGATGGCGTCTCCAGGGCAATGAAGAGCCTTGACCCCTTGTACCCCACGGCAACCAGCCCCACTGCCGACCTCCACACTGAGACAGGCGGGGAGGAGAGGGAGGAAGAGAGGGAAGACGAGAAAGAGGAGGAGAGGGAGGAAGATAAAGAGGAGGAGCAAGAGGTGGACGCTGAAGTAAAAGATGAAGTCGACAGTGGGGCCAACAGTCCACATTCTGGTAAGAATTGCACTTCCTTTGCTGTGTGAATTAATGTTGTTGTCATTATTTGGTAAAAAGCAACTAAAGTAAAACCGATCTACATAAGTAATGGCTGAAAAACATTGTATGTTACCTATAGAATGCAAAACTTTAAAGAGCGACTGCCCCTAAAAAGCAACTTCTTGGGCCTCCTGAGTGGCGCAGTGGTCTAAGGCACTGCATCGCAGTACTAGAGGCGTCACTACAGACCTGGGTTCGATCCCGGGCTGTATCACAACCGGCCGTGATCGGGAGTACCATAGGGCGGCGCACAATTGGCCCAGCGTCGTCCGGGTTAGGGGAGGGTTTGGCCAGGGGGGCTTTACTTGGCTCATCGCGCCCTTGTGGTGGGCCGGGCGCCTGCAGGCTGACCTCGGTCATCAGTTGAATGGTGTTTCCTCTGACACATTGGTGCGGCTGGCTTCCGGGTTAAGCGGGCGGGTGATGTTTCGACCTTCACCTCCCGAGCCCGTTGGGGAGTTGCAGCGATGAGACAAGATCGAAATTGGGGAGAAGTTTTTTTTATGTGGCATCGATATGAGTCATAAAGTCAGTCTTGTCCAAAACTGAGATTTGCTAGATGATAGGAACAAATTGTATGTCACAGAATGAAGGGTACTGTTTTCCTTGGTTTGGGTTTATTTCAATCCTGCCCACAGCTGGTAGCACCCAAGTAATCATCAATTCGGAGCAGCTGCAGGCGACCTGATTGTAATGCCTATGGTCAATTTGGTTTGACATTCAATATCCCTATGGGGCTAGTTGGGGACCATGAGTAAATGTCACATTGTACACGGGACACATTTTTACATGTCAATGGTGCCATATTTCTATGACTTAACCTCAAACCAACTATACATTTTAGAATTGGGTATACAAATATTGGAAGCATTTAATGAGACAACTAAAAGATGTACAACGTTAAAATATTGTCCCATTTCCATTGTGTAATTCATTGACTGTCCCTGACTAGCCCCAGAGAGGCTATTCAATGTCAAACCAACTTTGCCACAGTCGCACACCAGCCGGCTGAAGTTAAATAGCGAAATAAGTTTGCTAGCACTAGCTAGCCTAGACGACTTCAAGACACAAGACCTGGTCAAGTTATCTATACTGAACAAAAATATAACGCAACATGCAACAATTTCAAAGATTTTACTGAGTTACAGTTCATATAAGGAAATCAGTCAATTGAAATAAATTCATTAGGCCCTAATCTATGGATTTCACATGACTGGGAATACAGATATGCATCTGTTGGTCACAGATACCTATTTTTTACAAAAAAAAGGTAGGGGCGTGGAACAGAAAACCAGTCAGTATCTGGTGTGACCACCATTTGCCTCATGCAGCGTGAAACATCTCCTTCGCATAGAGTTGATTAGGCTGTTGGTTGTGGCCTGTGGAATGTTGTCCCACTCCTCTTCAATGGCTGTGTGAAGTGGCTGGATATTGGCGGGAACTGGAACACGCTGTTGTTCACGTCGATTCAGAGCATCCCAAACATGCTCAATGGGTGACATGTCTGGTGAGTATGCAGGCCATTGAAGAAATTGGGACATTTTCAGCTGCCAGGAATTGTGTACAGATCCTTGCAACATGGGGCCGTGCATTATCATGCTGAAACATGAGGTGATGGCGTCGGATGAATGGCACGACAATGGGCCTCAGGATCTCGTCACAGTATCTCTGTGCATTCAAATTGCCATTGATAAAATGCAATTGTTGTCCGTAGCTTATGCCTGCCCATACATACCATAACCCCACTGCCACCATAGGGCACTCTGTTCACAATTTTGACATCAGCAAACCGCTTGCCCACACAGCGCAATACACGTGGTGGTGATGGCCGATTGGACGTACTGCCAAATTCTCAAAAACAGGCAGGTGAAGCTGAAAAACTAGGGCCAAATCAGGAAGTTCAGCCCCCTTTTAAACTTTTTCACACATTGCAGATAAACAACCATTATGCTTTTCAGAAGAGCAAGGAGCCCCTTCATGGGAGGGTCCTGGGGAAGGCTCACTCCCCCTCCCTGAGGAGAAGGAAGAGGAAGATGACGAAATTGAGGAGGATGAGGAAGAATGGAACGATGGGGAGAGAGAACACAGCCCCTCGCCAAAGAAGAGTAAGGGGGATGGAGAAGGCTCGGGGGTGTCTGATGGCCCCCCAACACCCCTTAGCGGGGAGATGGAGAACCCCCTGACCCCCCTGCAGCCTTGTCCCAGCCCCCCTTCCGATCCCCCTGTGTGTGCTAAAAACATCTCCCTCACTGCCAGTGGGGAGAAGGTCATACTCTGGACAAGGTGAGAGAGACAAGCCTGAAAATGTTTGGTCTTTGTTTAATGTTTTTAAAAGGTTTTTGTTAAAGAGTGATAATCCTCTTTGGGTTACAGGGAGGCTGACCGTGTCATTCTAACCACCTGTCAGCAGCAAGGTGCCAATCGGAGTACTTTCCAGGCAATTTCCACCCAACTTGGCAATAAGACACCCAATGAGGTGAAGCTTGTTTTTTGTAACCAAACTATAAAAGATCCAACAGTAATGCACTTGTTAAATTCTTGGCTTGTGAAATGAACCCTAGTCCACTGACTCCTTTACCTCTCTCTTGTCCAGGTGTCTCGGCGGTTTCGGGACCTGATGCGCCTGTTCCACACCGCTGCCCGCCAGGTCAACTTAGAGGACGATGCTGTGGCCACTGAACAGCAGATAGTCACAGACGAGGAGCAGGACTGAACTGGACAGAATTAACCCAAAAAGGACAGAACCAAGTTCAGACACTTCTACACATGACTGCAGTATATTCATACCACATAAAAACTATTCCACAAACCAGTTCAAGGCTGGGGAAATCTGGAAGCAACATTGAGGGGATATGAACGCTGTTAATAAACTCATATCAGAATCACCTGAGCCTTCACTGAGCTGAAGCAACACCAGCAGCTCGAAAGAAGATGGAAGCTTTTCAATTTTACCAGAACCAATGTTAACAGTGGCCACTGTGTAACTGTACATTACTAATTCATTGAAAGAAATACAACCTTTGTCTAAAAGTTATCACTCAAATGCACTACTGAGGGACAAGGGAACATAGTCTCTTAGTGTAGCAAAAGTTTTATAAATACATAATTCGGCATGTCCAAGAATGTACATGTTTTGTATACTTTTTTCAATTCCCTGATTTGTGCATGTATGGCACAATATGTGAAATATGCACGGTAATAATACCTGTATAAGAGTTTTATATTTGATACAAAATAAACGTAATTTATCCGTTTGCTTTTTTGATTCATTATTTACGTTATGACTGAGATGGTGTTCAATCTCCAAGGCGCACAACTAGACGTCTACTAGACCCACACAAGTTATTGGTCATGTCACGGCTCTACTACACTCACTACCCACCCCGCAGTGAACTTCTCATTGAATGCAGAGCAGTGAGAGGTAGTGAAAAGCAGAGGATTTCAGCTACAGTATATCGCTATTGGGAGCAATTAATTCAGCTGAGATGGGTACCTTGGGTTCATTTAACTTTTCTTGCTTTTTGCGTTCGCTCAGCAGCAACGTATTTGTAGCCGCCAGCGATGTGCTCGAGCTCGGGGATTCTGATTTCGATTACACGGTAGCAGAGTACGAGACTGTGCTGGTGGAGTTCTTCGCCCCTTGGTAAGCAATGTTATAGCTAGCTTTGTAGCTAATTCATTAGCATGCACGAACGACAGCCATCTAAAGATGTATAGTAAATACAAACTAATTCCTGATTTTAGTATCGATTAACCGCACACTGTTGTAGATTTAACTATTTGCATTTAGAACTGTGCAGCTTTTGTTAGTTTTATCGGCTAACGTTAGCGGTCTTCCACTCTAGCTCGCTATCTTGACCCAATGTGTCTGCTCAATTCAAACTATAACAGTGTTTCATTATTATTTTCGTCATAAACAGTGCATACTAATTCTAGCTGGATTAATCGTGTTAGCTATTAAACTACCAGTTCACTTCTGAGAGTGATCTGACACTGAAATCATGTTAGCTATAATTGGAGTCGTGACTTGAGTCGGTTCATTCTGGTCTGACATCATATTTGAGTACTGGATTATGGCTAGGCTAGGTCTCTTTAACACTGTTCTGAGTCACCAGATATCTCAACTGTCACACTATTGCCTCTCTTTAGCATTTTTCCCATGTGACATTTTATAATTCTCTTCCTTTTCTTTGTACGGCTCCTCCCTTCCATCTCATCTCTTTCAGGTGTGGTCACTGCCAGCAACTAGCCCCAGAATATGAAACGGCAGCAACAAAACTAAAAGGGAAAGTGTCTTTAGCTAAAGTGAGTATACTAGTTTGTCCACACACGATACCTCAGAGGATGCATTGTATTTCCTTGCATCCAGATTAGTTACAATCCATTTGTTCAAAATGTGTACCTTTACCCTTTATTTTTTCGCCAGTTTTTGTTCCACAGGATGGGTATTGCGTTAAAATTTTGGGGTCAACTGTCCATGATAGCTGTGTCGCTTCCCTTTTATATTTGTTGGTGAAATGAGATCAGTTCACACAGTAGCTTTAACATAAGGGCTGCCTCTGCCTCTGCATACCGCCATTGTGAATGCACTGCTATTAAACAGTCTTTTGCTAAATTGATCAATGGTTTCTGTCATTTTCCCCAGGTAGACTGCACGGTGAACTCTGAGACATGCGGACGTTTTGGGGTAAATGGGTACCCCACACTCAAAATCTTCCGCAATGGAGAGGACTCTGCTGCTTATGATGGACCCAGGAGTGCAGGTGGCAAAATCATTGCTGTTATGGTTTGTGTCTCTTACAGTGGGGAGAACAAGTATTTGATACACTGCCGATTTTGCAGGTTTTCCTACTTACAAAGCATGTAGAGGTCTGTAATTTTTATCATAGGTACACTTCAACTGTGAGACGGAATCTAAAACAAAAATCCAGAAAATCACATTGTATGATTTTTAAGTAATTAATTTGCATTTTATTGCATGACATAAGTATTTGATCACCTACCAACCAGTAAGAATTCCGGCTCTCACAGACCTGTTAGTTTTTCTTTAAGAAGCCCTCCTGTTCTCCACTCATTACCTGTATTAACTGCACCTGTTTGAACTTGTTACCTGTATAAAAGACACCTGTCCACACACTCAATCAGACAGACTCCAACCTCTCCACAATGGCCAAGACCAGAGAGCTGTGTAAGGACATCAGGGATGAAATTGTAGACCTGCACAAGGCTGGGATGGGCTACAGGACAATAGGCAAGCAGCTTGGTGAAAAGGCAACAACTGTTGGCGCAATTATTAGAAAATGGAAGAAGTTCAAGATGACGGTCAATCACCCTCGGTCTGGGGCTCCATGCAAGATCTCACCTCGTGGGGCATCAATGATCATGAGGAAGGTGAGGGATCAGCCCAGAACTACATGACAGGACCTGGTCAATGACCTGAAGAGAGCTGGGACCACAGTCTCAAAGAAAACCATTAGTAACACACTACGCCGTCATGGATTAAAATCCTGCAGCGCACGCAAGGTCCCCCTGCTCAAGCCAGCGCATGTCCAGGCCCGTCTGAAGTTTGCCAATGACCATCTGGATGATCCAGAGGAGGAATGGGAGAAGGTCATGTGGTCTGATGAGACAAAAATAGAGCTTTTTGGTCTAAACTCCACTCGCCGTGTTTGGAGGAAGAAGAAGGATGAGTACAACCCCAAGAACACCATCCCAACCGTGAAGCATGGCTCTCCGTAGCCGATGTGAGTAAGACTTTTAAGCAGGTCAACATTCACAAGGCCGCAGGGCCAGACGGATTACCAGGACGTGTACTCCGAGCATGTGCTGACCAACTGGCAAGTGTCTTCACTGACATTTTCAACATGTCCCTGACTGAGTCTGTAATACCAACATGTTTCAAGCAGACCACCATAGTCCCCGTGCCCAAGAACTCTAAGATAACCTGCCTAAATGACTACCGACCCGTAGCACTGACGTCTGTAGCCATGAAGTGCTTTGAAAGACTGGTCATGGCTCACATCAACAGCATAATCCCAGAAACCCTAGACCCACTCCAATTTGCATACCGCCCCAACAAATCCACAGATGATGCAATCTCTATCGCACTCCACACTGCCCTTTCCCACCTGGACAAGAGGAACACCTACGTGAGAATGCTATTCATTGACTACAGCTCAGCATTCAACACCATAGTGCCCTCTAAGCTCATCACTAAGCTAAGGATCCTGGGACTAAACACCTCCCTCTGCAACTGGATCCTGGACTTCCTGACGGGCCGCCCCCAGGTGGTAAGGGTAGGTAACAACACATCTGCCACACTGATCCTCAACACGGGGGCCCCTCAGGGGTGCGTGCTCAGTCCCCTCCTGTACTCTCTGTTCACCCATGACTGCATGGCCAGGCACGACTCCAACACCATCATTAAGTTTGCCGACGACACAACAGTGGTAGGCCTGATCACCGACAACGATGAGACAGCCTATAGGGAGGAGGTCAGAGATCTGGCCGTGTGGTGCCAGGACAACAACCTCTCCCTCAACGTGACCAAGACAAAGGAGATGATTGTGGACTACAGGAAAAAAAAGAGGACTGAGCACGCCCCCATTCTCATCGACGGGGCTGTAGTGGAACAGGTTGAGAGCTTCAAGTTCCTTGGTGTCCACATCACCAACGAACTATCATGGTCCAAACACACCAAGACAGTCGTGAAGAGGGCACGACAAAGCCTATTCCCCCTCAGGAGACTAAAAAGATTTGGCATGGGTCCTCAGATCCTCAAACAATTCTACAGCTGCACCATCGAGAGCATCCTGACTGGTTGCATCACCGCCTGGTATGGCAACTGCTTGGCCTCTGACCGCAAGGCACTACAGAGGGTAGTGCGTACGGCCCAGTACATCACTGGGGCAAAGCTCCCTGCCATCCAGGACCTCTATACCAGGCGGTGTCAGAGGAAGGCCCTCAAAATTGTCAAAGACTCCAGCCACCCTAGTCATAGACTGTTCTCTCTGCTACCGCACGGCAAGCGGTACCGGAGTGCCAAGTCTAGGTCCAAAAGACTTCTCAACAGCTTCTACCCCCAAGCCATAAGACTCCTGAACAGCTAATCATGGCTACCCGGACTATTTGCACTGCCCCCCCCACCCCATCCTTTTTACGCTGCTGCTACTCTGTTAAGTAAGTATTTATGCATAGTCACTTTAACTCTACCCACATGTACATATTACCTCAACTACCTCAACTAGCCGGTGCCCCCGCACATTGACTCTGCAACGGTACCCCCCTGTATATATAGCCTCCCTACTGTCACTTTATTTTACTGTATATATAGCCTCCCTACTGTCACTTTATTTTACTTCTGCTCTTTTTTTCTCAACACTTTTTTTGTTGTTGTTTTATTCTTACTTTTTTGTTTAAAATAAATGCACTGTTGGTTAAGGGCTGTAAGTAAGCATTTCACTGTAATGTCTGCACCTGTTGTATTCGGCGCATGTGACCAATAAAATTTGATTTGAAACATCATTCTTTGGGGATGCTTTTCTGCAAAGGGGACAGGACGATTGAGGGGAGGATGGATGGGGCCATGTATCGCGAGATCTTGGCCAACAACCTCCTTCCCTCAGTAAGAGCATTGAAGATGGGTCGTGGCTGGGTCTTCCAGCATGACAACGACCCGAAACACACAGCCAGGGCAACTAAGGAGTGGCTCCGTAAGAAGCATCTCAAGGTCCTGGAGTGGCCTAGCCAGTCTCCAGACCTGAACCCAATAGAACATTTTTGGAGGGAGCTGAAAGTCCGTATTGCCCAGCGACAGCCCCGAAACCTGAAGGATCTGGAGAAGGTCTGTATGGAGGAATGGGCCCAAATCCCTGCTGCTGTGTGTGCTAACCTGGTCAAGACCTACAGGAAACGTATGATCTCTGTAATTGCAAACAAAGGTTTCTGTACCAAATATTAAGTTCTGCTTTTCTGATGTATCAAATACTTATGTAATGCAATAAAATGCAAATTAATTACTTAAAAATCATACAATGTGATTTTCTGGATTTTTGTTTTAGATTCCGTCTCTCACAGTTGAAGTGTACCTATGATCAAAAATTACAGACCTCTACATGCTTTGTAAGTAGGAAAGCCTGCAAAATCGGCAGTGTATCAAATACTTGTTCTCCCCACTGTATGTGTTTTAGTGTATGTATGACTCATTTAATGTTGTCCCATGTTCCCATAGATGGCATTGTGAGCTACATGATGAAACAGGCAGGTCCCAGTTCCGTTCCTCTGCACAATGAGGGAGACCTGGATGCATTCATCAACAATTTTGAAGCCAGTGTGGTTGGTGAGTTCACTTCATTAATCACAGCAAATTAGAGATCCTTTAGTGTATTGAAATAAAACAATTGCATGATTATTTGTATTTTATGTATATTTTTTGTGAACTATTTGAGTGACTTATTCTCCCGCCCTGCTGTCAGGTTTTTTCTCAGGTGCTGACAGCTCTCAGCTGGCTGTGTTTCTGAAGGCGTCTAGTGCCATGAGAGACAGCCACCGCTTTGCCCATACTGCAGACCTGAGCCTGGGCCGCAAACATGGCGTGGAATCAGAGTATGTGCTGTAGCTCCCCTTACATATAATCCCACCTGGGTTCTGAACCTTCAGCCCTATGAAGGCACATTAGTTGGATATGACATCATAGACATTGCCAAGTAGTGGTACCTTATAATGATGTCCACTCTCCTCTTGTGTGTCTCTTAACCAGCACGGTGGTGCTCTTCCGGCCCCCACGACTCAACAGCAAGTTTGAGGACAGCGTGGTGAAGTCTGATGAGGCTGTATCGACCGCCTCTCTCCGTCAATTCATCAGAGGTAATGTGTTTGGGCTGTGCCCCCATCTGACTGCTGAGAACAGAGACAACATGAGGGGACGTGACTTGCTGGTGGCCTACTACGACGTGGATTACCTCCGCAACATCAAGGGCACCAACTACTGGAGGAACAGGTGAGAGCTGCTCTCCTCAGAATAAGAATCACCTTTATTCGCCAATTACATTTACACATACCTAGAATTTGACTCAGTGAAATGGTGCTGCCATCTATAGACAATGTACAGGCAGAGGAATTTGCACAAAGTCTACATACAATATAAATACAGTAAGCATAGAACTCTACAGTATAAGATGATTTACAGTGAGGATATACAATTTACAGTAGGAATTTATCAATATATGCACAGGGAGGGATGCTACCGTGATGTACGTGTGTGTGTGTATATAGTGTTGTGCAGAGGTGTACAAAGTGCAATTGCAGTATAGTGCGGTTATAGGTTTTACAGAATGATGATGGCATGGTGCAAAGTCACTTAGTCCCTATGAACCTGATGGCCAGCTGGTGAGGGCCACAGCACGGGGAAAGAAACTGCTCTCACCTGATACCCTCCTCTCTCTTTTTCTCTCTCCCTCACTCTTTCACTACCCCTTCTCTCTCTCTCTAGGGTGATGAAAGTGGCCACTCAGTTCCAGTCTCAGGGGCTGAGCTATGCTGTGGCCAACAGGGCTGAGTTCCAGGATGAGCTGGAGGAGGAGTTTGGCCTAGGGCCGTCCGACGGGGGAGAGCTGCCTCTCATCACCATCAGGAACAGGGATGGCCACAAGTACAGCATGCAGGAGGAGTTCACGTGAGTTACAATAACACATGACCATCACAGACCCTTCCTTACGCAGTCTGGCCAGCTGTCACACTGCTCATCTGTCTGTCTGTTGCAGACGGGATGGGAAATCCCTGGAGAGGTTCTTGGAGGACTACTTTGCTGGTAAACTGAAGAGGCAGGTCAAGTCAGAGGCTGCCCCCGAAAACAACGACGGCCCAGTCAAGGTGTGCGGAATAGAACCAACAATAGTTTGCCGCTTTCAAAGATGATAGGAAGACATTTAAACAAAACCCTTTTGCCTCTGCAGGTGGTGGTGGCGGACAACTTTGAGGAGATAGTGAACAACCCTTCCAAGGACGTGCTGGTGGAGTTTTATGCACCCTGGTGTGGCCACTGCAAAAGCCTGGAGCCCAAATACACAGAGCTTGGGGAACAGGTGAGGTTCACATCTGAAAGTGTTGCTTACCTGGTTTTGAAAGTTACAAACCATCATCCATATGCTCATTATTTTGAAATAAATGTTACTTCATTACAGCTGTCCACTGACAACAACATTGTTATAGCAAAGATGGATGCCACTGCTAATGACGTTCCTCCAACCTACGATGTCCAGGGGTACTTCTTCTTATGTAGTTTGATTTTGTCTATTTCAAGTCACTACTCTGTAATCTGCTATTTTCATCTCATCTGCTGTTGTCCTCCTTCCCAGTTTCCCCACTATTTTCTTCGTCCCAGCAGGACAGAAGGACCAACCTCGGAAATACGAGGTGAGGCTACAACACCACCTTTCCTCCTCCAAAGGACATGGATGAAGTAACACTTAATGCTCTGTAATCAATATTCTGATACATTCCTTCACTGCTTTAACCATCCGTATCTGTCAATAGGGTGGCCGTGAGGTGAATGATTTCCTCAACTACCTGAAGGAGGCGGCCACACATCCCCTTGTCCTGGGCACTGCCAGAGAAGACTTATGAGAGTGCAATGAAGAGAAAGAAAGAAAAAACCACAAGGGTGGACTGGCAAAGAAGCAGAAGACATGAACTATAAGGAAAAAAAGGAGCCACCCATTGCAACACACAGTTTCAGACCATAAGATCTCCTTTGGTTTTCTGTGCCACACCAGCAACACTGAATACTCATAACATAGAGGACTTCTAAATTAAACAATCAGCAGTTTTTTCCATGGAGCTTCAAAAGAGTAATGTTCTCAATGTGAGAGGATGGAACATCTGCAAGCACAGTAATAGGCAGCACGTGCAGATTGGCTTTGCAGTTAAACTGGTGACTTGGTGGTTGCTAGAAATATTCCCAAGATAGGCATACTAGTGTAGCGTCTTTGACTCTGAGTAAGGAAAAATTATGTGCAACAGTTTTTGCAAAGATGCTTATGGGTACAAAGACAAAAGTGTCTGCTAAGCAATTAGATAAAAATGGAATCAAATATCTGATACAGGGGCCTCCTCGATCCCGGGCTGTATCACAACCAGCTGTGATCGGGAGTCCCATTGGCCCAGCGTCGCCCAGGTTAGGGCAGGGTTTGGCCAGGAGGGCTTTACTTGGCTCATCGCAGCGACTCCTAGTGGCGGGCCGGGCGCCTGCAGGCTGACCTTGGTCATCAGTTGAACAGTTTTTCCTCCGACACATTGGTGCAGGCGGGTGTTAAGAAGCGTGGTTTGGCGGGTCATGTTTCGGAGGATGCATGACTCGACCTTCGCCTCCTGAGCCTGTTGGGGAGTTGCAGTGATGAGACAAGATTGAAAAAGGGGGTTAAATAAAACATTTAAATTCTAATATCTGATACAGAAAGATTTAGACTAGAAAATACATTTGCCATTACATGTTGGTCATTTAGTATGGGGTTTCCCAAACTCTGTACTGACTGCGTTTGGGAAACCCTGATTTAGCAGATACTCTTACACTATTATCAATTTTTGTGTGAAAATAGGGTGAAGACTACTGAAGCACTATGGACAGGCTTAGATTTCAGTTTGACTTTTATGCCAAGCATCTCACCTGGACTATTCTATGTACTGTATGTCTTCCTTTTTGACATACAGTTGAAGTCAGAAGTTTACATACACTTAGGTTGGAGTCATTAAAACTCGTTTTTCAACCACTCCACAAATGTCTTGTTAACAAACTATACTTTTGGCAAGTCGGTTAGGACATCTACTTTGTGCTTGACAAAAATTTTTCCAACAATTGTTTACAGACTGATTATTTCACTTATAATTCACTGTATCACAATTCCAGTGGGTCAGAAGTTTACATACACTAAATTGACTGTGCCTTTAAACAGCTTGGAAAATTCCAGAAAATGTCATGGCTTTAGAAGCTTCTGATAGGCTAATTGACATCATTTGAGTCAATTGGAGGTGTAACTGTGGATGTATTTCAAGGCCTACCAGTACCTTCAAACTCAGTGCCTCTTTGCTTGACATCATGGGAAAACCAAAAGAAATCAGCCAAGACCTCAGAAAAAAATTTGTACACCTCCACAAGTCTGGTTCATCCTTGGGAGCAATTTCCAAACGCCTGAAGGTACCTTCATCTGTGGGGCTCTATTTTCTTATAACTAGATGTGATGCCTAGCTTAGAAAGAATGCATTAATGATTAAACATAATAGGTTTGTACTGAACTGATATAAATTGTTTAACATAACAAGCTGTGATTAATGTGAGGAGCTGTTAGGGAGTAGGGGGAGATAAGAACTTGTCTCACATACACCAACACTGCCTCTTTGTTAAACCGTGCTCAAGGACATGTGTTTTGCTACAGTGGAGAGGAACAGACTATGTCTGAAGTTGCAAAACAACTAAACACCTGGCAACAGTGAAGCGCCAAGGGGCCTGTGCGCCAACGATAGGCTGAGTAAGTCTAAACCCCGCTCAGACTCTACTCTGATAGGCCAGCAGGGAGCGGGAACTATCTCTGTCAGAGTATTTAAAGAAGAACCTATAACAAATGGCTCAGTTCTCTGAGTGCCCTGCGTGGTATTTCAGTGGACCCGTATATACGAACATCATATTTACCATTGAAGTGTTTGCATTAATTAAAATACTAGTATATCTTAGAAGTCGTGTTGACCTCTTTTATTCCCAATACCAGATTTGAATTGACTGCAACTTAACACCACGTTCATCTGTACAAACAATAGTATGCAAGTATAAACACCATGGGACCACGCAGCCTTCATACTGCTCAGGAAGGAGATGCGTTCTGTCTCCTAGAGATGAACGTACTTTGGTGCGAAAAGTGCAAATCAATCCCAGAACAACAGCAAAGGACCTTGTGAAGATGCTGGAGGAAACGGGTACAAAAGTAACTATATCAACAGTAAAACGAGTCCTATATCGACATAACCTGAAAGGCCGCTCAGCAAGGAAGAAGCCACTGCTCCAAAACCGGCATTAAAAAATACAGACTACGGTTTGCAACTGCACATGGGAACAAAGATCGTACTTTTTGGAGAAATGGCCTCTGGTCTGATGAAACAAAAATGGAACTGTTTGGCCTCTACTATTCTGATATTTCACATTCTTAAAATAAAGTGGTGATCCTAACTGACCTAAGAAAAACTTGAGTTTAAATGTATTTGGCTAAGGTGTATGTAAACTACCGACTTCAACTGTACATTTGCACACTTTTGTGCATCTTCCACAAATGCTCTTCTTGAGGAGCGGCAACCTTAAAGTTTGAAATGCCTCCTCATTGTACCGAATTTATCACATTGAACTCCATTTGATTTTTACATACTGTAATACACTCCATATCACTATTTTGTTTTGTTACAAACACAATATAGCACATAATCCACATATTAGTTATTTTTATTTGAGACATCTGTTTATAAGTTGTGATCAGAAATTATACAGTGATATTTATTGGTATTATTTATTTTCCAAGAATGTATAGTTACATCAGCTAGACCCTCTTCTGAGATGTATGTTTTACATGAAATTTGACTGTTACATGTCATTTTGCTTTTATTTGCATTTGTGTAACTACTGAAATAATTTGAGGTTTCTTACATGAAAAGAGGGTTATCGACATGAAGATTTGGCAATGTCCAATTCATGGGTATTATTTGATAAATAACAGACGTTGCAGTTTCTTTCTGGACTACATACCCAAAAATGCAATACCAGCGCGTGTAACAGTGATGAAGGTTGTACGGAATAATGCACTGCCCACACAGTTCCGTACAGAGCAACAAATGGTAAGCCTAGTAAATGTAGCTAAACGTTTGAGGATACAGGTAGCTGTATGCCTTCATGCACATAATTGATACCACAGAGCTGGTAATTTATTGGGTTTCTATAAAATGTCCATTTGTCTACTGCGACATAGGATTTGATTTGATAGGGTAACCACACGAGGGAAAACAATATGAGCTTGAAGATAGCGCACACTGGCTACTTCCTCTTTCGTAGTCACGCAGATTGGATTGTATGGCTGTTCATCAAAATTTCCTCGTCCTGAATTGGTCATTTATTTGCCCAACCCGCCCAGCCACAAACAATAAGCCCTTCCCTTTGCTGCGTTTGAGAACTTGGTAGCCGGTTGAACTACGCACGCTGCCAAAATGATGGGAAGACCAATCGTCGTGTTGAGTGAGTGATAAACAAAGTTACAACATTTATCAATGAATTAAATACAGAAGTGCTTTAAGTGTGTTTTACATCTTGCTATATTTGTGAGCTGTTTCATTCATGCGATGTGAATGCCCGGGGTTCGGGCCTAGCTAGCCAGTGTTGTCTCGAGCTGTGACAGTCATGCTGCGTAGTTAGCGGCACAATCCGCTATAAACTTTTATCCAACTTGGGGAATAAACAGGGATACTGTGCTGCTAGTTTTTTTTAAACTATTTGGTTATGTTAGGTACAGTAGCTAAAAAACCCTTCGGGTAATTTGAATGGATACTGATTTGCTAGCTGCCATGTGCTATTTCCCTGGTGTCTCCCAGTTTTGGGGGATGGTCTCAGTATCTGGTTTGGGCAGTGGCAAAACAGTAACTAACGATGTTGCAGATGTCATTTCAGAAATGAAATGTACTCCTATCTAACTACACAATTATTGGCCTAACATTTTGTCCGTCATGTTGTCAAATACACTGTACAAACTGCAGCATCATGATCACAGTCATTTATTTTGAGCATAGGCCTAGTTAAGACACTCCCTCTCTCTTTAGGCCAGAATATGAAAAGAGAGTCTGGACGAAAGGTCCAGAAAGGGAACATAGGTGCAGCAAAGGTAAAGATGACACCACTCCTCTCCGACTTCCCGTTACCCCATCATTGTCTTTCTGACTGACATTTGTGTTAATTGCAGTAATGAAAAATGCCTGCAGCCTTACAAAGTCTAATTTTACAGGCAATAGCAGACGTCATCAGAACATGCCTGGGACCAAGAGCCATGATGAAGGTTTGTACCAAGACACAATTCCTGCCCCTAGATACTTAAATCCTAAAGTAACTCCAAAATACAACTGGTCTAACCTTTCCCCATCAACTAACAGATGCTGCTAGACCCCATGGGCGGCATTGTCATGACCAACGATGGCAACGCCATCCTCCGAGAGGTGAGATTTCTGCACTACATTTCTCATAAGCACCCTTACACTGCTTTGGAAGATGGTGAATGTAAACAAATTCAGGTCTGTTAAAGTTCCCTTGCTGAAGCCTATGAAAGACTAAAGAGCTTTAGATTTAGAACAACAGTGTTTACATGGTATATCCCAAAATGTACTATTATGAACAAACACAGATCCAAGTGCAGCACCCGGCAGCCAAGTCCATGATTGAGATCAGCCGCACCCAGGATGAGGAGGTGGGAGACGGCACCACGTCAGTCATCATCCTCGGTAAGTGTCCCGGTAGTGGAAGTATTTCATTTCACGTTGATGATGCGTAAGAATCAATCCTCTAAGCCATCGTACTGAGTGTGCACATTTTAAAACAGCTCTTGGCTAACATCTTGAATCTTTTGTCTGTATCTAGCTGGAGAGATGTTGTCTGTAGCAGAGCAGTTCTTGGAGCAGCAGATGCACCCCACAGTCATCATCAGTGCCTACAGACACGCCCTGGACGACATGCTCGACATGCTCAAAGACATCAGGTATAGATTGTATACACCTACATACTCCCTGATGAACACTCAATTGCACAATTTTACTCTCAGTTCTATTGACCGACGGTCTCTGTTCCCTCCCAGCACCCCAGTGGATGTCAATGACCGGGCCCAGATGCTGAAGATCATCAACTCTGCTATCTGCACCAAGGCCTTGAGCCGTTGGTCTACCATGGCGTGTAATATTGCCCTGGATGCCGTGCGCACTGTGGAGTTGGAGGAGCACGGACGCAAGGAGATCAACATCAAGCTGTACGCTAAAGTGGAGAAGGTAAGCTTTAACGTTTGCATGTATCTGTTATACGTCTTTCAGATTGACATCAATAAGTATGCCAAAGAGGTTGTGTGTGTGGTCATTGGGAAAATGACACACCAGGTTGGTTGATTCCTCATGGTTTTGCTATGGTTATAGGTGCCTGGTGGCTTCATTGAGGACTCATGTGTGCTAAAAGGCGTGATGGTCAACAAGGACGTCACTCACCCCCGCATGCGCAGAATGATCAAGAACCCCCGCATCATCCTGCTGGACTGCTCCCTGGAGTACAAGAAGGGCGAGAGCCAGGTACTGAAAACACATGTACACACACTCAATGTGTCATTCACACATGCACACAAATACATTACCAGCACACACATGCAGTATAAATGTAACAGTTGCAGGTACTATCCAATAAATGGTGTTCCTATGCAGACTGACATTGAGATCACACGTGAGGAAGACTTTTCCAGGATCCTTCAGATGGAGGAAGAGTACATCCAGACAATCTGTGAAGACATCATCCGCCTCAAGCCAGACCTCATCTTCACAGAGAAGGGCATCTCAGGTACTACACACACAAAATCTGAATGTACAATTCTAGAAACAGCTGTTAATCCTCCAAAGCTCCCCCTGCACTGACCAGAGAAACTCCTCTCATCCCTCCACTCTCATCTCCCCAGACCTGGCACAGCACTATCTGATGAAGGCCAACATCACAGCCATCCGCCGCGTCAGAAAGACTGACAACAACCGCATTTCAAGGTAAGGTCCATTCCACACACGGTGTAGTATTCTGAAGATGTGGTAACTTTTTTTAATTGTCTGTTAAATGCCTTAATGCTAATATCATTCTCAGGGCATGTGGGGCTCGCATCGCCAGCCGTACAGACGAGCTGCGTGAGGAGGACGTGGGAACCGGCGCCGGCCTGTTTGAGATCAAGAAGATTGGAGACGAGTACTTCACCTTCGTCACAGAGTGCAAAGACCCCAAAGCCTGCACCATCCTGCTGAGAGGAGCCAGCAAAGAGATCCTGGCTGTACGTAACAAGTTCACCCCTCATGCACAAAGAATATGGCAAGACGTCTCCGTTACAGCAGAAGGACCTCATGCTATCTTATCACTCAATGCTTCATTGTGGATCCAAACAGTGTTGATAATGTTTCTCTCTGTCCCTCAGGAGGTGGAGCGTAACTTGCAGGATGCCATGCAGGTGTGTCGTAACGTGCTACTGGACCCCTCTCTACTCCCTGGAGGCGGGGCGGTGGAGATGGCCGTGTCCAAGAGGCTGATGGAGCGTTCCAAGACCCTGACCGGGGTGGAGCAGTGGCCCTACCGCGCTGTGGCCCAGGCCCTGGAGGTTATCCCCCGTACACTCATCCAAAACTGTGGAGCCTCCACCATCCGCGTGCTCACCTCCCTCAGGGTATGTGTGTGTTTACTCTAAAATATGTACCTTTTTAATTCTGTTGGGCACAGCAGAATTTTAAAAAAAATGAATCTTACCCCCCCACCTCTAGGCCAAGCACACCCTGGAGGCCTGTGCATCATGGGGGGTGAACGGAGAGACTGGCACATTGGCAGACATGATGGAGCTGGGCATCTGTGAGCCACTGGCTGTCAAGGCCCAGACTTACAAGACTGCTGTGGAGGTAAGAGGGGCCAATGGGCTGCTGTTGAAAGTGATATTCACCTCAAATGTATCTGCAACAAATGCTTGAGACTAACAGTTTCAAATATTGTACAAGGCATGGATGAATTCTGTGTTACTTTGTCAGTAGTGAATGCAGTCAGACACCATGCAAAAACAACATATTTTCACTTCTACTACTCTAAAAAGGATGAGTGCTTCCCAGTGCCTCATCTCCTTCACATCAAAGTGAATACAATGAAACTTGGAGCACATTTAGTGTCTATTTTTCTTTTGTGATTGAATAAACAGTCACTGGTTTCAAAGTGAACCCCACTAATGTAATGTTGGTCTCTTCTTGCCTTTCAGACGGCCATCTTGCTGCTCCGCATTGATGACATCGTGTCTGGAATCAAGAAGAAAGGCGATGACCAGGCTGGAGGAGGACAGGGGGCCGAATAGAGAGGGTGGGGAATGGCGGAGGAAAGGAATGGGTTGGTAGACCAGTGGGCAAACAGACTGGCAGTGTACAAGTACAGCCTACTGTTCTCTTGCGACACTATTTTGCAAAAAGACATATGTTTGTCTGTGTTCTCAACCAAGAATGTGTCGATAGTCAAGCGTCACTCCGTAGCCATGTATCGCTTTTGTGAGTTATTTTTGATTTGCTATAAAATTCAAATCGAATGCTGTCTGACTCACTCACAGTTAATTGTATCTCTTATTTTGTCATGGCAGATTAAATAAACTTGAATTTGTTTATAGCACTGTAGTACCCAGTTAAATGAAAACAGGTTATACTGTTTTGAGCCTTTTGTTAAGGATAGTTTTTCCTCAGTGAGCAACAGATGTGGGAGAAAAAAAGATCCTCTTCAACTTTATTAAAGTTAAATGCATGAAGAAAAAAAACATTGCAATTCACCACAGCATATTGAAATAAACAAGATCTGCGTACACAACAGATAATAAAAAATAACTTCTGGTTACATCAAAAGGTTCTATTTTATCTGGGCCATAACTCCCATCCCTGAATGTGTTGAATAGGCCTTTTAGGAAGTCATAAAACCATGCAATAGGATGAAGTCATGGTTTACCTGTTTTAGACTCATGTTTGCAACTTTAAACTTGTCAACAGACCTTGCAAGTACATGTAGTCCTGGGCTTCGTCTCTACGCTGACCTGAGAAGACCATTCAAAGCAATAGGGAGCCTACTTTGTAGACTGTCATCTGGCCACTTCTACTTCTGTGGCTCAGTGAATATGCGAAACGGGAGCAATGAAATGCCTTTCAAGGTTTGCCTTTCCCTGCCCTGTACAGAAGCATATAGCAGTGTACCAAAAGCCTCAATACACCCTAATAAAAAAACACTCCTACTATATTCCTTGATGGATACTTTTTAAAGCTTGTTCACCTACCAATGTAAAGGAGATGAGAAAAGTATTTCACAACATTGGGTTAGTCAGTACAGCCAGGTTCCAAACCACTTGACCTGTTCTAGACAAATCTGCAACACTGAATATATCAAGCCAGTAGAAACAGCAGAAGAGTGTGGTGTCATCCCTGGGCTCTCTCTCCAGTCTCTGGGTCGACACCGCTGTCCAGCTCTGGAGAGGAAATCGGCACAGTCATTCCAAAGCAATGAAGGTATTAGCATGTTGAATTTTTCCAAACTCTTCAACAGTGTGTGGGTATGTATCTTTTGATTTAACTTTTTGAGCATGATATGACTTTTTAAAACCTACGCACCTGTGACTGACACTGTTTAATTAAGGAATGAGTACAAGGCACAGACGGCACCTGCTGTTAAGTGTGTTGACTCACCCATGCTGGCCTCACTGGGTGCTGCGGAGGGGAGGCGCCTGTGCCTGGCAGGCAGGCTGGAGGTTGGGAACCAGAGGCCCTGGAGCCAGTACAGAGGATGGGGGGAGACTCATGACCCCTGTAATAGGGGCATGGGGTTGGACCACCTCCATATCCACGGCTGCTCTCAGCGGAGGGCCAGAAAAAGGGAAGTGATCAGTGATGTGAGAAGTACAAAGTATAAACTGAGTATACCAAACATTAGAAACACCTTCCTAATATTGAGTTGCAACCCCCCCATCCCCCCTTTGCCCTCAGAACAGCCTCAATTTGTCGGGGCATGGACTCTATAAGGTGTCGAAAGCGTTCCGATGCTTCCAAAAGTTGTGTGATGGCTGGATGTTCTTTGGGTGGACTATTCTTGATACAAATGGGAAACTGTTGAGTGTAAAAACCCCAGCAGCATTGCAGTTCTTGACACAAACTTTTGCGCCTGGCACCTACTACCATACCCTGTTCAAAGGCACTTACATTATTTTGTCTTGCCCATTCACCCTCTGAATGGCACACATACAACCCATGTCTCAAGGCTTAATAATCCTTCTATAACATGTCTCCTCCCCTTCATCTACACTGATTGAAGTGGATTTAAGGGATCATAGCATTCACCTGGGGTCTCTTTTATAAACGTTGCCTAAATGTCACACTAACTATCTTTGTGCGCCATTTCTGAAAAGACTTCGCAGGTACAAAAATAGAGATTTATAAACTTGGTGCACGCCATACATACGCATGTTTCCGTTATAAATCAGACCCGTCCTGAAACTGCGCGCGTGAACGAGCATTAAAACTCCGCCTGAAAAATGCCCATCATTCACCTTTTATGGTGACAATAGCGCCCTTATTTTCTGTATACTTTGGAAGTATTACAATTAACCCGAGGCAGTTTTCTAAAGGAAATAGCAATAGCGAACTTGATCAAATGTCTTTGTAGATGAAGGCAGAATGTTACACTTTTGCAGTGATATTTGCTGTAGGCCTAGGCTATCCGACAAACAAAACGTTTATGAAAGACAACAATTGCAAATTGCTGTGGACCTGTAAAAATGATTTAATATATATTTTCGTTTATTATTTTCCACTAACCATTCCCCCTCCCCTAATTTAATTTAATAGGGCCTAATGTTTTGCATTTACTTTTTCTCGAACCTATGCTTATGCCGCACTCCCCAAATTCTGAAACATTGTCTCCTTACAGCAGTAGCCAATGCAAAATATCAACTGTCTGTTCACCTGTATGTTATAAACCACGCATCAGGAAGGAAGCATGGTTTATAACATACAGGTGAACAGACAGTTGGTATGTTATAAACCATGCTTCCTTCCTGATGCATAGAGCAATATACTTTAAATAAAAGCATATCTAATAGGCCAATTGACCCTTCGCTAAGCCCCGCCCCCCTTAGTTACGGTTGCAACCTCGGACAACATTTTCCGGGTTTTCAAGATACAATTAAATTAAACACAGACTACCCCTTGCTAATCAGGATACTCTCTGTTATGTTGTAGTGGACTGTCATTACAATTACTTCACAGAAATCTGGTAAAATGAAGGTTGTAGTGTGGCTAGCCACTGAATGGCTGAATGCACTGTCAGCATGCAGCCAAAGTTAGGCTACTAACCACTTTTGGAGCTAATTTGTCTCTCAAATCTAATCCTGATGTTGACAGCAGATGAGAGTTGTATTCCTAATTTAGCTAGCTAACGTACATTACAAAAATATATATATACAGTACCAGTCCTCATGAGAGTCAGTTTCATCTTAGCGTTTGATGGTTTTTGCGACTGCACTTGTAGAAACGTTCAAAGTTCGACATTCATGTCTTAAAGTAATGACGGTCTGTTGTTTCTCTTTCCTTATTTGAGCTGTTCTAGCCATAATATGGACTTGGTATTTTACCAAATTGGGCTATCTTCTGTATACTCCCCCTACCTGCATTCCAGGTGACTACCTCATGAAGCTGGTTGAGAGAATGGCAAGAGTGTGCAAAGCTGTCACCAAGGCAAAGGGGGGCTAGTTGAGGAATATCAAATATAAAATATATTTTGATTTGTTTAACACTTTTTTGGTTACTAGATGATTCCATATGTATTATTTCATAGTTTTGATGTGTTCACTATTATTCTACAATGTAAAACTTGAATGAGTAGGTGTGTCCATACTTTTGACTGGTAGTGTATATTAACTGGCTAGCTAGCTAGTCTTAGCAACGTTCGGTGGTCAATAAGACTGAGCTAGCTAGCAAACAATGTCACAAAACAGGCTCTGCATTTGAGGAATCTAGGGCTGTCCCCGAGAAAAATTAATCTTGGTAGACCGAAAGTCATCTGTTCTTTTCGATCAATGGATTGGTCCCCAAAAAAATTACGTGTATTTTTCCATATATAGACACGTCCTTTGTGTTTTGATAAAATCAACTATATGCATTGAGCTTGTCTGATGCTTTAAGCGCACTGTTTGATTAAATAAGACACAAATGTCTCAAGAGGGAGCCAGAGATCAAGATAACCAGAAGGAAAAAAACGTGACCCGACCATCCTCCTCCTGCTCCTGCTGGCTTTCGCAGATTCTGCCATTACTCTCCTGAAGTTGCCGGTAATAGGCTACACGAGGAGTCGGTAACCTTTCTCATGTGGAATGATAATACCGATCTGCGCGCCAGTTATGGTTTTCATATGCACATTTTCGTGGAACAGTTCCATTTAATTTATAATAACCACTTCATATCTCAAAATCATTGTCATGTGGTTAATCAAAATTCTATCCAAATCTAAATGAAAATTATACAAATCTAAAAAGTAACTTACAGTGGGGGAAAAAAGTATTTAGTCAGCCACCAATTGTGCAAGTTCTCCCACTTAAAAAGATGAGAGGCCTGTAATTTTCATCATAGGTACACGTCAACTATTACAGACAAAATGAGAATTTTTTTCTCCAGAAAATCACATTGTAGGATTTTTTATGAATTTATTTGCAAATTATGGTGGAAAATAAGTATTTGGTCAATAACAAAAGTTTCTCAATACTTTGTTATATACCCTTTGTTGGCAATGACACAGGTCAAACGTTTTCTGTAAGTCTTCACAAGGTTTTCACACTGTCACGATCGTCTTGAAGCGAAGTAGACCAAAGCGCAGCGTGTTGAGCGAACATGATACTTTATTATATTAAAGCACAAAACCAAAACAATAAACGACTCGTGAAGTCCCGGTGATAAAGACCGACAAGGAACAAAAACCCACAAACACAAAGTGAAACACAGACAGTTAAATATGGCTCCCAATCAGAGACAACCAGCACACAGCTGACACTCGTTGCCTCTGATTGGGAGTCACTCAGTCAAACATAGAAAATGACGAACTAGAAACACCCAACATAGAAACAGAACACATAGAATGAACACACCCTGGCTCAACATATAGAGTCCCAGAGCCAGGGTGTGACAGTACCCCCCCCTAAAGGCGCGGACTGCGACCGCGCCTAAATACGAGCAAAACAGGGGAGGGCTGGGTGGGCATTCCTCCTCGGCGGCGGCTCCGGCTCCGGGCTTGCCCACCACCCTCCAACAAACCCCCCATAGCGCCCCTGGTCCGGTCTGGCCCCGCTGGCTGGAGCTGGACTGGACGTAGCAGGAGCGGTAGGCTTCAGCTCCTTAGTGGAGCAGTTGAGCGGTACCTGAATTGGCACCGATGACCCAGGCACGGGTTGTGCCGGACTGACGACTCGCACCCCTGGCTTGGTGCGAGTGGCAGGAACGGGCCGGGCCGGGCTGGCGACGCGCACCGTAGACTTGGTGCGAGTGGCAGGAACAGGCCGGACCGGGCTGGCGACGCGCACCGTAGACTTGGTGCGTGGAGCAGGGACAGGCCGGGCCGGGCTGGCGACGCACCCCGTAGGCTTGGTGCGTGGAGCAGGGACAGGCCGGGCTGGGCTGGCGACGCACACCGTAGGCTCGGTGCATGGAGCAGGAACAGGCCGGACTGGGCTGGCGACGCACACCGTAGGCTTGGTGCGTGGAGCAGGGACAGGCCGGGCCGGGCTGGCGACGCACCCCGTAGGCTTGGTGCGTGGAGCAGGGACAGGCCGGGCCGGGCTGGCGACGCACACCGTAGGCTTGGTGCGTGGAGCAGGGACAGGCCGGGCCGGGCTGGCGACGCACACCGTAGGCTTGGTGCGTGGAGCAGGGACAGGCCGGGCTGGGCTGGCGACGCACACCGTAGGCTTGGTGCGTGGAGCAGGGACAGGCCGGGCTGGGCTGGCGACGCACACCGTAGGCTTGGTGCGTGGAGCAGGGACAGGCCGGGCCGGGCTGGCGACGCACCCCGTAGGCTTGGTGCGTGGAGCAGCAACTGGCCGGACTGGGCTGGCGACGCACACCGTAGGCTTGGTGCGTGGAGCAGGGACAGGCCGGGCTGGGCTGGCGACGCACACCGTAGGCTTGGTGCGTGGAGCAGGGACAGGCCGGGCTGGGCTGGCGACGCACACCGTAGGCTTGGTGCGTGGAGCAGGGACAGGCCGGACTGGGCTGGCGACGCACACCGTAGGCTTTGTGCGTGGAGCAGGGACAGGCCGGACTGGGCTGGCAACGCACACCGTAGGCTTGGTGCGAGTGGCAGGAACAGGCCGGGCCGGGCTGGCGACGCACACCGTAGGCTTGGTGCGAGGGGCAGGAACATGCCGGGCTGGGCTGGCGGCGTGCACCTTACACTTAGTGCGGGAAGCAGGAACGGGCCGGACCGGACTGGTGACGCACACCACTTGCTTGGTGTGAGGAGCGGGACTGGGTTTCGTCATAACCCCCCGCTCCCTCAGCTGCCTACCGAGTTCCTCTCGCCGTGCCTCATTTCTCACCCTTTCCCTTATCGCCTCCAAATGCTCCATCCTCTGCAACACTACCTCCTGCTCCCTCGTCGTCCCTGCCGTGTGCCCCCCCCTAAAAAATTTTTGGGGTTGCCTCTCGCCTGTCCGACGTTGACCCTGCTGACGCCGCTGCTCCTCTCTCCGTCGCCTCTCCACCGTCTCACTCCATGGCCGGCGATCCATCCCGGCCAGGATCTCCTCCCAGGTCCAGGACCCTTTCCCGTCTAATATCTCCTCCCATGACCAGGCTGCCTGCTCCT